GTGTCCCTCCAGTGAGTCTTCAGCCTCAATGGGCAAGATCCAGCCTCGGGCCTCTGCCCTGCCAGTGCCCCTTCTGGACCGCTCCTCCTCAGGGACCTGCACAGCCTGTAGACTGGCTTCTGTCTGATCTTTTCTGATCCTATGTCAGGACCCTCCTATTTCAGGGGTGTGAGGCTCTTTCTGACCCTCATATTTAAAAATAGCATTCCAGCCCTCACTGCTGTGTCTGCCTTTATCAGTTATTGTCGCTCATTCCAGGTCACGCACTGACTTCTTTGATTGTCTGTCCCCTCCTGGAACAGCAGCTCCCCAAAGGCAGGCCATTTCATCCACTTTGCTCATGGCTTTTTCCCTGGGCCTGGCAAAAGTAGACCATCAGTAAATATTGGGTGATGGGTTCCCTAATCCTTCCTTCCACCTCCTAAGATCGGGGCTAGGTATTGAAGGAAACTCAGATAAAGGGATTGTTGGTGGTGGTCCTTGGCTAGTGTTTGGGGACCACTTCTCCAGGCTAGGGTGGGAGAAGGATGGGTATATGCAGATGTCAGCGAGAGTGAGAATGGGGTCCCCACTCAGAGATGAAAGCTAGGACCCCACCTGGCCTCTCAGGGCCTCTGTGAGATCTGCACAAGCAGAAGGCCTGGAGGGCCAGCTGGGAGGGCGTGAGGTAGGGTGCTTCTGTGCCCTGTGTCTGCCCTCTGGGGCTGATGCAAGGCCTGGGGGTATCCTGACATCTCACCCTGTCCTTTGCCCCTAGGTTGGGCCCCACATTGGGCCCCCAAGCTTTCCCCAAACTGGCAAGGATCCTGCCAGCCTTTTCCTCCCTTCAGCATCTGGAGTAAGTATGTCCCCTGGGCCTCCCCTCCACTGTGGCCCTGACAGCCTCAGAGCCTGTCCTGTCCCAGGGCACGTGCAAAGAGGACACCTTCTCCTTGTCCCTGTCTCTCTCCCCAGCCACTTCCTCAGTGTGGCTCATATGAGTGACAGGATAAGCCTGCTGCAGGGAAGGGACAGCTGATGGGGATCCCCAGGAATAGACAGTGTGGGATCCTTCATGACCTTTGAAACAACCCTACATGTCCGCACTTGACTCGCCACTCTTAGCAACCCCACGGGGGAGGCTGAGGGGGGAAATCCCACTTTGTAATCAAGCTTCTGAGAGCTGAAGGGCATCGTTCAGACTCAAGGGGCTCCTAAGAAGCAAAACGGATTCTGATCCATGGGAAGTCCCACTCTGTCACCTGGCGGGCCCAGGGTGCTGAAGGTTGTCTCTCACAGCGCAGGACGGCAGTCTGCTCACTGTGGCTGTAGCACATCCAGGGCCGGGGGCACGGAAGGGGAGGGGAGGACACTGGCTGACAGCCCCTTTCTGATTCCACCTGCAGCTTGGACTCACTGAGCGAGAACAAGATTGGGGACAAGGGTGTCTCGGAGCTCTCAGCCACCTTCCCTCAGCTGAAGGCACTGGAGACGCTCAAGTGAGTGGCAGGGCCTGCCTTCCCCGCTGTTGTGTTGCCCAAAGTCTAGTGGCTCCTGTTCCGATTCCGGTTCTCAGTTTGTCCTTTCAGTCCTTCATGCACCCCTCAACTGTGCACCCTTCCATGCCATCATGCACTGATTCACCCAGTCCATCAGTTCTTTATCCCTTCAGCCATTATTCATCCAACTGCTCATTCAGTCATTTTTTATCCAATCGTCCACTCATCCAGTCATTGACTGATTCAATCAACAAATATTTAAAATATTTATCCTTGATCCCAGGCACCATTGTAGGCCCTGAAAGTGCAGCTTTAAATAAGACTAATAAACCCCCTGACCTCAGGGACCTTAAATTCTAGCAAGGAGACACAATAAACCAGAAGCAAATGCATAAATAAATCTAAAATTATAAAGTACATAGGAATAAAAGTGAAGTTTAATTACAAAATTATATTGGGGGTTGAAATAGGAGAGAGGAAGGTTAAGATTTATTGGGAAAAACTTATCGGCAGAATGGCAACTTTTTTTTAACTGTTCTGGATTCTGGAAAGTTGGAGATGGATAAACGTGGATTGATTGACCTTTTCTTTTCTTTCTTTCTTTCTTTTTTTTTTTTTTTTAACTGAATAGAGGTTATAAAATCTGTCCACATTCCCCTCATAATTAAGAGTGGGATGGCCAAATATTTCACCAGAATTCACTTAGCTATTTCTTTGATTATAAAAAACTGGGGCTCCTCTGTTAATTTAGAGTGTCTTAAGTAACACTGTAAGCTAGATTTCATAAGTCTCCCTTACCTCTCTCCCCTCTGTCCCTTTGCCCTGAAGTATTTATTGAGCACCTACTATGTGCTCAGTACTGCTATAGACACAAAGATATAATCGTGACCAAGACATACACAGCCCCACTCTCTGCAGAGCCCACCACTTAAACAAATAACATAGACACTCATTTAATTGCGGTGCTGATGAATGGCCCGGAGGGAATAGAGAGGATGTTATAAAATCATTAATAGGTGGAGGAGAGGAGCCCCCCTGAACAGCTCACCCCATCCTCCTACTTCAGGCATCACAGGACTCTTATTTGTCAGTAGGTAGTGGAGGTTTACCCAAGGCACCATCACAGTTCATTACCCATGACTGGCCGCGGGTGCACTGTCCCCCTTTGCAGCACAGGCTGCCCTGTGGGGCTCCCAGTGGGGCAGGCGGATGGACGCTGTTGTGGTCCTGAGCTCTCTCTGGCGATGTCCCCGCAGCCTGTCCCAGAACAGCATCACGGACGTGGGTGCCTGCAAGCTTGCCGAGGCCCTGCCCTCGCTCTCTGCATCCCTTCTCAGGCTCAGGTGAGTAGGGTTTCTGCACTGAGCAGGTGGGCTGGGCCTGACACCAGGACTCAGGAAGCAATCACCACAGGTCCTGAAAATGGGTGGGAGGGGGAGTGGTGTGTGCAGAATCCAGTATGGACACGGCTACCTGAAGCTGGGTGTCACCATCGCCCTAAGCAAGATCAGCAGGACCCAGGGGAAGAAATCTGGGCAGATCGCTGACTGGTCCTGAGCCGCCGGTTTCTCATCTGGGAAACAGGATCTACCCTGATGGCCTCTGTAAAGCGCAGGGTGCAAGGCCTGACTCTGCAGCAGTAGCTACTGCCCCCACCCCACCGCATGGGAGGCAGGACTAAGCTTTCTGGATATCACTCACATACTAGTCCGTGCTTACACTGCCACCTCCTGGTCAGCCTAGGAATAGCCGGCAATTCCTTCCAGTCTGGTACCAGAGACTAGCAGCAAGAGCAGGGCATCCCTGGCTCTCCTAACTCCCCAGCTTGGGAGAAACGTCCCTCCCCTTCCCCAGCCCTCATCACGTGCTGAGGACAGCTCAAGTCAGACTCCAGGAAAAGTGACATCTGGTCCATCTCTGTGGATGTCCTTCCAGCCAGGAACACAGGGTGCAGCTGCACAGGTTGTGCATTGTACAACTCATAGCTGTACATCATCCATGTGAGCAGTGCCTACCCTGTAGAGCTGTTCCAGGCATCTGATATTCTCTAACATGAACATGGGCCAGAACCTGTACTAGAAAGCAGAGATACAACTATGAACAAGATGCGTATTCTTGCTTTCAAGGTTTTTGCCCAGTTAGCAAATAAGCAGAGACATAAATAAAGTATTTTGATATAGTGATTTATGCTGGAAAGAAACCAACACAGCCTGAGAGCATGCAATAGAGAGGATTGCTGGAGGAAGTGACCAGCTTCCTATGGGGAGCTCTGAGGGAAAAGCACTGAAGCAAGAGGAGCAGCAGGTGCAAAGGCCCTGAGGTGAGAGAGGTTGTGGTGGGCAGAGAGGATGAAGGACAGAGGTAGGAGAGGTCGCTGAAGCCCAGATCAAGCAAGGGGTGCTTATAGGTGAGGCAGAGGCATTCCTGGCTTTTGCTGGGTGAATGAGAAGTAGGAGGGGCATGTGAAAGTGATATCTGATCTGATGTGCACATTAAGAATTATCAGGCTTGGTGGTGGAGCACTTGTCTGGGATGTGTGAGGTCCTAGGTTCTATCCCAGCCCCACAAAAAGGGAAAGAAAAAAAAGAACATGTATTTCATAGACTAAAGTGCCACCCACACGAAGACACAGGTGGAAGGATGAAATGCTGCCAACTAAGCTGCGACACTCTCGGTCAAAGGTCGCGCTCTGATCTCAGTGAGATTCAGATGTGGGCTTGGGCATCTCCACCTCAGAGATGCAAGGACTCCAGCTGCCTGCAGAGAGGCGGCAGGGCCTCCTGGGTTCTAGGACTACTGCAGGGGAGGTTGTGCTGCCTCTGCCTGCCACCTGGCCAGCCGCGATATCCGGCCCACTGGGGTGGAGCCTGAACCCTTGCAGCGGTGAGGACCTGCTGCCTTTGCATGGAGCCCTGCTGTGCAGCTCAGGGCTGAGCCATAGCAGCACCGGCCTGCGGAAAGGATGCTTGGTGCTGTGTGCTGCTGTGCTGCTGCTATGCATGGTGGCCCCAAACGGAGCTGCCCCAGTGACTGGGTTTTTCTCTTCCTGCCACCAATGCCAGTCACACCTTCTACAGGCACTCAGTGAGGGTGACAGTCAGGCCTGTGAGAGTCATAACCAGAGTTAACAGTTCACCTACCAGCATGAACTCTTGCTCTTCCCCATAGTTTGCCTGTGGCGATTGTACAGATGAGCAGGCTGGGTCTCAGGGGGTTTCAGTAACTTGCCCAGGATTTCACAGGAGGCAGGAGGCATAGCTAGGATTTGAACCCAGGAAGTCATTTCTCCTGAGAGTTTCCACACTCTCAGCCAAGAAGCAGCTTTCTTTCAGTCCTGCTGCTCCTCTGAACCTACTGCGTGACCACAGAGAAGCAGCCTCAACTCACTGGGCCTGTTTGCCCCTCTAAAATGCGACAGCAATCTCAGTTAAGTGTAGATTCTGGGAGCCTTCTCCCAGCACCCCAAAACTCTTCCATGGCCTCTGTCTCCGGCAGCTTGTACAACAACTGCATCTGCGACGCTGGCGCCGAGAGCCTGGCACGTGCGCTTCCTGAGATGGGGTCCCTGCGGGTGATAGAGTGAGTGTGGGCAGAGTCTGGGCAGCAGGGAGGCGGGGGTGTGTCTCCTGGTGCATCATGGGAAGGTCTTGTCTGGAGATGGGCGGTCCCAGGGCCAGGCCTCAGAATGAGTCTCTCTCCCCAGCGTCCAGTACAACAAGTTCACGGCTGTGGGCGCCCAACAGCTGGCTGCCAGCCTGCGGAAGTGTCCGTACGTGGAGACCCTGGCGTAAGTCTCCGCAGCCGGTGTGGGGCTCAGCGTGTGTCTCCAGGGCTCAGACCTGCTCTCCTGCCCCAGTGTGTGGCCTTGGGGCGGGCAGGCCTATCGTCCTGGCCTCCGTTTCTCCATCTGTAAAATGGAGATGCTAATAAGCTCTGGCCTGGACGGAGTTGGGAGGTTAAGTTAATTAAGCAGTGTGAAGCTCCTAGAATACCAAAATACTCTCACTTCATCAGAGTGAGCCATATAAATTGTCTACATTCACTATTCTTGACCCATAAGTTGGAATTTCATATGGTTTGAGTTTATTTTTTTAATTACTGCATCATGATATCTAATGCCCAATCCTGGTATTTTATACTTTTTAAAAGTATTTTCATCTATGTAATCGCTCATGTCTTCTAAGATGGCTAAGGAAGGTTTCATAAGACCCATCTTGGCTCACAGATGAGGAGAATAAGGCACAGAGCGGTAACCAAGCTTTTTTTTTTTTTTTTTTCCTGCACTAAGGATTGAACCCAGGGCCTTCACACACTGAGCTACATCTCTATCCATTTGCAATTTCTTTTAAATTTTGAGGCTGGATCTTGCTAAGTTGCCTATGCTGGGCTCAAACTTGTGATCCTCCTGCCTCAACCTCCCAGAGTGCTGAGATTACAGGTGTACACCACTGTGCCCAGCTAGTAACCAGCCTTTCTGAGGTCAAAGAGCAGAACCAGAAGAGTCTCAGATCTCAGAGCTCCTTGGCCTCTCTTTCCCCACAACCGCCCAGCCCACACATACCAGTCCATAGTGGCAATCTGGGAGGTCGCTGGTGCTCTAGGCTGAGTGAAAGGAGGGATTTGGGGGTCATCTTGCACTGGGGGATCCCAGCCACCTTCCTTCCTCTGGCCTGGCTGCTGAGTCCCATGCTCCCCACAGGATGTGGACACCCACCATTCCGTTTGGTGTCCAGGAACACCTGCAGCAGCTGGATTCCCGGATTAGCCTGCGATGACCTTCCTGTGCCCTGGAGAAGGTGACTGGGTGAGCTTGGGAGTGGGGAGCACAGGGACACCTGGAGCCAGTATCTTTGAGAAGTTGGGATCCATATAAATAAGGCAGGGACATCAGGCGGGCCTGGGTGGCCATCTCTGGACCTGTACATTGCCTGGGACTCCCCATCTCCATGCTGGGTCCTCTGGAGATGTCCTGGGGCTGAGGATCCCCTCTGCGGTCAGGAGAGAGACCCAGGAAGGGCAATGGGGCCGGGTATTCTCACCCCACAGCCTGAGTGTTGGAAAGTCCTGCCTTTGGGACTCCCAAGCCTTTCTCGCTGTGGGCTGCCCCAGTGCCCTGGATGCATCTTCCTAGGAACTTGCTTCTCACTGTGAAAGGGACTGTCCCCAGTCCTCGGCTCCCTCTGTGTCCGCTCCTCTATGAGCTGTGCTGCAGTCCCCTCTAGCCCTCCTCCATTCCCATGGTCCCCTCTGTGAGGCTGGCCCACCTAAAACACCTAGCTCATCTCCCTCTCCTGACCCCCACAGCAACACTGAGGACACTGACCACGTTGGACCATGGACTGGGTACCTGTGGACAGAGCTTGTCTCTGGATTTATCCCCTGAGCCTCAGTGCCTGGCATCTGGCCCCTGTGGACTCAGGGCTGGCGCTGCCCAGCTGTGCAGGACCCATGTCTTGCTCTGTGGGAAGACCCGGCCCAGCCCCAGGCTCTTCTAGGCCCCGGTAGACACCAGCCTTGTTCAGCTGTGGAGAGCCCCAAGGCAGGTGTGGCCCACCCCGGAGGACTGAGGCATTCCCTGCAAACACTCTCGGACAGCCACAGTCAGGCCAGCATGAGGGGCTGAAGCTACCATGTGTCTGCCTGCTTGGGCCCCAGTCAGCCTGGTAAGAAGACCCTTCTCCCTGCTGGTTTCAACCAGACATCTTGGCAGGGCCTGCTTGATGCTCTGAAGATATCTGTGGACAACCCCGATCGGCTGGCCCCCCAAACTGACAGGGATTCTACAGCAGCTGCTATCTGTCTGGGGCACTTACTGTTTGCACTAACTATTGGCCAAGGTCAAAGCTGGGCTGGCCTCTGATCTTAGCCAGCGAATGGTTACACTAAGGGCTGAGGGGTGGGGAGACAGCTTGGCACCTCACCTCGTGCCCGCCCTGGGTTCTTTGCCTTCCCTGTCTTTTTTCACTACATTTTAAATGTCAGTCTCTTGGGAAGGGCTGGGGTTTGTTCATACCATGATTTCTACTCTGGGGACCTACTTTATGGTTAATCCAATGCATACCAAGCCATGCCAAGGCATGGTGGCTTGAAACAACACCAGCATCCATTGGCTCACGCTCCTGTCATTTGCACAGGGCTCAGCAGGGACAGTCCCCCGTCCCCTCGGCATTACCTGGGGCAGCTTGAAGGTTGGGCTGGGCCAGGTGATCGGAAGGCTCCTCCACCTGCATGTCTGGCACCTGGCTCTGGCTGCTGGCTAGGCCCTCAGCCTCTAAGGAACATCTGGGTGGAGACCTCTCCATGGGAAGGGATTTGGGCTTCCTCATAGCATGGTGCAGGATTGAAGGGGGATCACTCCAAGAGAAAGAAATCAGGTAGAGACAGGAGAAGAGAGGAAGAGGAGAGGGAGACCACAGGGACAGTTGGTGACTTCTTTATAGCTTAGCCTTACATGTCACACCAAATTGTTTCTGCCATGTCCTATTGGCCAGTGTGACGGGTTACTTCTATCCTACTCCCCCCACTGTGCACACATGCATACAGTCGCACATGTACACACACACACACACACACACGCACGCACACGCATGGAAGAGTGTCCACCTGGGCCAAATCCTGTCTTCCCTGAAAGGGTCTTGCTTGTGGCTTCCTTCTATTTGGTGGAAACTCATTCTTAAGCAGTCAACAAGGCTGAAGCCGTACAAAGGGGAATGTTTTCCTCGGCCTTCGGCACACCACTCTGTCCTGGGAGCCACTTCTTAGCCAAGCTGGAACTCTGCTGGGACTGCGGGAGCTGGAGAGGCTCTTGGCAGCTCTGCTTTCCACACAGAGAGCCAGCAGCATGGCTGTTGTTTTTCACTTAAGCCTGTCCTGCTGGCCAGAAGCCCGATCGTAGATTGATGGGGACAACTTGCTCACTGCTGGTGGCAGACAGGAGTCAGCTATTCAGCTATGGCTCACACCCCGAGTGCCCCCAGTTTCCCACACTCTGCTCCTCTCCCCAGAAGTGGGAGTCAAGGTCAGGAGCATTGAGGCTCAGCCTGACCCTGGCAGGCAGTCCCTGCAGTGGTAGAGTCTCCTCCATTGGCACTGCAAAGGGTGTCACATGCTGTCACCCAGGTTTGGATGGTGAAGAGCTCAAGCATTGCTGCTCAGGGGGCCCCTACATTTGCAGCCAATGTGAACTCCATGGAACCCCCATGAATGTTGCCACAGGTGTGAGCACCAGGTGACTCTGGTGCAGTCACCTACTGCACCTGTCAGCCAGGTGGGCACACCTGAACCCTCTGCTTTTTGGTCTGTTAAAATGAGGTCAGAGGCTCTGGTTATTCATGATTTTTGAGTGGTGGCTACCGTTTACTTTATGAGTCAATTCACGTTGCACTTATCACAGTGCAAGGGACGCAGTAAATGTTCAGTAAATGTTAACAATTATGGTTACTATGAGTCTGTCCTACCACTGGGCCTCAATGCAGCTCATCATGTATACAAGTAAGGCTGCCTTGTGCCCCAGCATCCTTATCTGTAAAATGGGCACAGGACCTTCCTCACAGGGTTATGTGACTATTCCATGAGCAAATACATTGAGAGAGCCTGGCACACAGCTCAGTGTGTGCTATCACCGTTACACACCTCTGTTTCATTCTTGCCTCTGCCGGGACTGTTCTTCCCACCTCCTCATGTGGCTGACTTCTCATGCTTCAGGACTCGGTCAAGGACAGCTCCCCAGGAAGGTCTACTGACCACACACACAGCCCTCCCTGGCCGCCCACTGTCCAACTCCATTGCAATTCGTTGTCCGCTCTTTTCCTAGGCTGTGAGCTCCAAGAGGGCAGGGAACTTGACTGCTGTGTTCCCTGCTGCCCTCTGTGCCCAACAAGGTGCCTGTGTACAGTAGGTCCTTAATAAATGTAGAATGGACGAACAATCCTCAGCCAACTGTGCTTTATTCATTCTACAACTTCATACCAAATACACAGTGGTGAGTAAGATGCTCAGGCTTCTGGCTCTGGAGACTGTTGCATTTTAAAAAAATTTAAAAGCTCTCTGACAGGACTTCCAGGTGTGCTCGGCCAGCCTGGACACTGCACAAAGGCACCTGGATCAGGATGAACTGTGGGCTACACAAGTCTGGGGTCTGGGTACAAAGCTGTGAGTCCTGGTGTGTGCATCAGTCTGGAGGGTCAGCCTTCTGTAATTCACATGAAGTCATTTTAAGAGGCCGGTGGCTGGGTGTGGTGGCACATGCCTGTAATGCCAGTGCTCCGAAGGCTGAGGCAAGAAGATCACAGTGAATTCAAAGGCCAGCCTGGGCTACTTAGGGAGTTTGAGGCCAGCTTGAACTACCCAGCGAAACCCTGTCTCAGTGACATTATTTATGGTCACTTCCCCTTAAAGGAAGGAGTCAAAACATCAGCTGGATCTGTGATTTCTTTGGAGGATCTCTGTGCGCGTACAGGGGCAGTGTGCTGGAATTGGTCCCTGAGCCCTGTTTGTGAGTGCAGAAGCGAGGCTGGAGGACTCAGACAAGAAGGCACAGTTCCATGTGCAGCGAACTTGACAGCAGGCACCTGCTCAGCCTGCCCTCTCCCCTCGGGCCTCTCCTTCCGCAAATGCCGCCCTGCCCATGCAGTTTTCCCAACCCTCTCAACCACCTTCTTTCCCCATCTCTTCTCATCCCCTTCCTTGGAATCCTATGCAGCCATCTCTAGGGCAACAGGCCAGGCCTCAGTCTCCTCGACTGCATGATGGGGCTTTTCTTAACCTGGGGTGTGTGATGGTACTTTGAAAATCCACAGTGCCCTGCAAACTGGGTAGAATTCTTGCCATCTTTCCATGAGCCTGCCAGTTAGCCCAGTTCTCGTTCATTTATCCCTTCCCTCTTTTTAACAGAGTTCTACCATGCTCCCTGAGAGGGCTCCACAGTACCACTTCTGTGAGACTAGGGCCTGAGTCCCAGTGTGGCCAACAGGCTTTCCTACCATGCGCCACAGCTGCTCCTGGCTTGCTGGGCTTGTGGAAGCTGGGAGAGGTCAGCCTGGGACTCCGGCCTGTCCATTCTCCAAAACCCACCGAAGCTCCAATTTGTGGGGCTCTGCCTTTTTTGCCTGTTGTCATCCTCAAGGTACATAAAAGCTTTTCCAAAGCTCAAAGAAGAAAAAAAACAGGCCTAAGAAACTGAAGTTGCATACATTTTTTAATCGAAATAAGTCAGCCTCCTAAGTATTGCTTTTACAGGTTTATCGAAATCAAGTATTCACACTACTCACATTTTCAAAAATATATTTCTGGCCCGAGGAGCAACACGGCACCCCTCAGCATGATATCTCAGTTCTGCTGATTTGCTGAAGAACAAGCAACTTGAAATGAGTAAGTCAAAGCCCTACCCTCGGCCCTTGACATTTCCTCAGCTTTTTTGTCTGAGTCACCCCCAAAGCAGTCACTGAGACCAGACTTGGGCTATAAACCCAGCTGGGCTTAAGGCTCAACTGGCAGAGAAAGGACCTACGAGTCGCCTTTGGGTGTGGCTGCAGCTTCGTTTCGTAGTGTCTTCTCCGGAGGTGAAGTGGGGGAAGCAGGTGCCACGGGGAGCGCAGTGCAGGCGGCAGATGCGGGCTGGGCTCGTGTAAACATCCATCCTGACTACACGAAGTCACATGCCAAGGCCAAGGCCAGGTCCTCGGGGCGAGCGGGGACGCCTTTCCCCTTCCGTGGGGACAAGGGCCTTTTCAGCCTGGGCACTCAGTCCCAATCTCTCCTTCCCTTCTCCTGGGTTCAGGTGAGGACCTCTCTGTTGGCACAAAGCTTTGCAGGGGAGCAGGCCTAACAGGAAGAAGGATGTCATCAGCAAGGAGACCCACCCTGCGACCGGTCTGGCAAACTCAGTCTCCTTCCCCTCTTCAATTCCAGGAACCACTAGAAACCTGCACTCAGCCTGGGATGTTTTTCTATTTTTATTACAAATGCTTTTTAATAAATTTATTTAATGTAAGAGGCTGCGGGCTGGAGAAAGGGTGCACTTCTACATGGAGAAAAGCACTGTCCTGGCTAGGGGGCCCGGGGCCAACGTCCAGGCAGGCTCAGCTCAGCAAGCTTGGAGTGGGCGGGGCCTGGAAGCTCCTCCCACCTGGCCCGGAAGCCAGGGCCCACCAGCCAAGGCTACTCAGCAGCCACACTTGGCTGCCCCTCCCAGGCCCCACACCAGGACCCCAGGCAGGAACTCTCTTCCCACTCCCTCCACCATCCAGTGGGTGCCAGCGTCACAGCAGCACCCTGTATCCCAGGCCCACCTCCTGACAGCCCCCCACTGAGCTTCATCTTTGCTTGCTCAGCCTCTTCCTTCTACAAACTTCATTGAGCATCAGCTAGAATTATCACGTCCGACATGGAGTCTGCAGCCTTGTTCAACAGGGTGCTACTGTCTCGGGCGCGGGCTGATCGGTGGATGTAGGGGCTGTTCTAGGCTCGGTGTGCTTAGCAGCATCCGTGGCCCCTGACTGTGAAATGCTGGAAGCCCCTTCAGGCACTGTTACGGCTAAAAATGTCTCCAGCCCCACTTCTGAGGGCCACCTAAGGGGCGGAACTGTTTGCATTGAGAAATCCATGCCTCCCTGTTTTACAGGCTAAAAAAACAGGCTGAGAAGGCTAGTGACAGCTGCATGACTAGGACAGACAGAGCTGGCTCTGGACTAGTAGCAAAGATAGAGATGACCACAATCAAGATAGTGCCCACTCCCTGAGCACTTGTTGTGTGCCACAAGGTACAGCAGTGGGTACGGCTCTCACCCCTCCCTAGGGCACTGGCCAGGCAGCTTCCAACCACTGGGGGTGGCGCCTGTTGGCCCAAGATCTCTCTTGGCCCCCGGAACCTGCATGGCCCACAGGCTTCTAGGCCAGGTAGGGTTAACCCGCCCCTGCACCCTGCAACTGCCCTCCACTAGGGCCAGCCAGCAGGGCAGGGCAGGGCGGGGCAAGACCCCAGCTGCCTCACCAGGGGCTGGGTGACTCAGGTATTTTCCAGCCACTCTCTGAGCTCAGTGCCACAGAGGTGACCTGCTCGATGAGGTACCCCTTACTGGTCTCCTTCCCTTCCCTGCCTCGCCTCCCAAAAAAGTAACTTGCACCTGAATCCTCGCCTCATGGTCTGCTGCGGTGGGAGGGGGCGGCAGGCTGAAAGGGGATGCACCATTCAATCCTGACAAGTCCCAGAGCTAGGTACTATTAAGACTCCATTTGATAGGTGAAGAAACTAAGGTTCAGTCAAAAGGTGCTCCCCTCAGACATGCTGGACTCAGTGGTGGTGAACCTATGGCATGCGTGTTACTTATTTTTCTCTTAGGACAAAAGATGTTATTGTAGGAGTTGTTTTTTCCAAATCAAAACCTCAGTATTCAGGTGTAATTACAGTGTTGGTACCTTGCAATAAATAAGTGAGTTTGGGGTGGCAGTTTGGCCACTCATCTCTAAAAGGTTTGCCATCGCTGTTCAGAGCCTGGCTTTCCCCTCACAGCTTTGTCCCACTTCAGATTTTATTTTTAAGTGTGTGTGTGTGTGTGTGTGTGTGTGTGTGGTGCCAGGTATCCAAACCCAGAGCCTTACACATGCCAGACAAGTGCCTACTACTGAGCTACATCCCCTGCCCCATTTGAGATTTAAACACTACATGTCAGACCTGGCTGTGGGCACACTGTGAAGGTGGCCCCGGCCTTTGAGACACACAATCTACCTAGCAGGCAATTTCAGCCTGAGATAACACACCCATCAGTGGGAAGGAGGTGACCTCAGGTATCAGTGGTACTTGAAGGGCATCTGGAGAGTGGGAAGGATTGGGGAGGAGAGGGCCAACAAGGCCACCAGCCTCTAGTGGTTTGGTACAGGGCGGGAGTGAGGTGGCCAGGAGGCAGGGGACAAATCAGGCAAGTTTCTATGTCTTGTGCCAGACTCATCTGCCACATGCCAGCTGGGAACATGTCCCACCACTGCTCAGAAAACCTTCCTTGGCTCCCACTGACCCCAGAGAACCTGCAGGCAGCAGGGAAATAGGGGCTACAGCAAGGGCATTCTGGGATTCCTCTCCCATCGCCCCAGAGTGCAGCTGCTGCTGACCTCCCTTTGAGGACCCTCTGGGGTGGGGCTGGTGTCAGTGGTGGTGCTGAGACCCCTAGTGACCAGAACCCTGCAGAGCTATGCATTCAGATTTGCCCTCCCCAGTGCTCACAGCGGTGATCCCCAGGACCACCAGGGAGGCCTCGCTCCTTGCCTCCTGACTGCTGATGGCTTCCTATCCAGACCCCACAGCTGCTGGGCTGGCTGGAGGGCCCATCATGTGAGCTCACCTCGCCTCTAGGGGCATGGGCCTGGCCCAGGCTCCACTGCAATTGACTAGTGCTCTCCTCTCTTCACTGGACTGCTCTTCGGGGTCACCTATTTTTAGTAGGTGATCAAAACCTTTATTTCACTTTAAAAAGGGCTGATTTAAAGAAAACCATATGAGGAATAGTTCAGGAGGTTGGCAGACACAGCAGCACACATGACAGTCGTGTAGTGGTGGGAGACCTGATCTGAATTGGTTCCACTCGCTCCACAGCTGAGAATGGGCCTGGCCAGGGTGGTGACCTGTAAAGTCACACAGCGAGCTGAGACAGAGATGTGATCCCTGGTTTCAACATGCAGCTAGAGGGTGTCCTGGACACAGCTCCACTTTCATCTGTGTGACCTACCTTGGCTGCTACACACCAACCCCTCAGTTCTTTGACTTGCAAGTGTGGCCTTGGCAGATCTCCGATGACAAACACCACGACAGCTGGCATTTATCAAGCACCTCCTTCTTTCTGTTCACCTTGTACCAGCTCCTTTACCTCATGTCAGCCTATTCCTCCAAACAAGGCCAGAAGGTAGGGCTGAACAGACCCAGTATCCCTGCACTCGATGGGGCTCAGAGAGGGTAATCGAGTGGTGCAAGACCACACAGCTTGTACCTGATG